TTTCACGGGTGCGGCCAACTCCACGCTGTACTTGTGCTTTTGCCGTCGGATGCGGGCATTCTTGAGATCTGGATGCTGATCGACATCGGCCCGAACAATTTCCGCCGCCGCACGCACGATCTCCATCCTCGCGTCTGCCTCTTTCGCTACTTCGAGAAGACGCCTCACAATCTGCAGGGACGTATTTCCACCGGACGTGGCGTTTGCGGCCGTGCTCGGACCATTGAACGTGTTCGCCAGGCGCGCCCGTAGGGCGAGGGATGCGATAACCTCGTCCCGAGCGTTGACCGGGAAGAGACACAGTAGTCGTTGGCGCCCGTCTCCAAAGCCCCCCTCGCTGCTGACCACCCGCGCTTGGCTCCCATCAGCGCTCGCGATGCTCTCGAACATCTGGCGCACGGCCTTCCGCCCGCTCCTACGCTCAAGTTCTTGGTCACCATCCTTTGCGCGCTCAGCTGAGAGCCAGTCAAACACATCCTCCCAGTAAAGGATGTCCCCGCGAGCTACGGCTTTAATCACCAACGCGCGCACCCGGCTGAACGGCTTCGCCGGCCCCGGTTCATCGGCTTTAGGTCGGCCCGAGTTGCTCGATGCCGCAACCTTTTTTGAGTAGCTTCTCCGATCGCCCGAATTCGAGCTTGATTGCAGGCCTGGCAGAACCAAGCTTGTGTGCGTCCTGATCGACCACCCTCCGTTATGTTATCGTCCACGGCGTCCACACTGTACTGTTAGGATGATCCGAACTGGGGGTAGCTTGTTGCAAGACGTGTGTTGAATAGGGTGTCGGCAACTCGGCGAACTCGCGCCAAGGAGGAAAGACGTGTAGGGTTTGTTGCATAAACTTCTTCACATGAACTCACATGAACTCACACAAACTGAACGCACGCGTGCACGCACCACCATGAGGGGGCGACGCAGTATACAACAGGGGTACCTTGCACACCCTGGAAATACATTCCACGTACTACACAATCCTACAACCACTTGGCATTGCTACAAGTATATCTATCAGCCCCCCTGCTTGTGACCATGCCATGTCTTTTTCGATCCTCAATAACTCCAAAACACAAGAAAATAAAATCAGAAACTCCACTCAACTCTAGAACAATAGCCTCATTGGCTAGACATCAATAACCATCCCCGATCATACCAGTTATACTTCTTCGAACTTCAGTGAACTAGTTGCCCCCCAGCCTAGTACATCATCCATTGAAAAAAACCATAGGCAAAAATGTAAAATGTTGCCACCCCAGTTGTTTGATCACACACAAAATAAACCCAAACACCAAGATATTAATCCATACTCATCACGTAGTTACGATGAAACTCAAAATCTCCCGCGTGAAGTGCTTTCGTGAGAAAGTCAGCATGTTGATACGCCGATTCCACGTGAAAAATCGAAATCTCCTTCCTGCCTACCAGTTCCCTGATAAAGTGGTGCCTTACGTCGATGTGCTTCGAGTTACTGTTGCTTATCGGGTTTTGCGCCAACTGAATAGCCCCTTGGTTATCCTCGAACACCGGAATACATGGCATGCCTGCTTCTGGTAACATGAAACGCCACACCTGCCTCAGAAACAACACTTCCTTCATCACATCCGCAAGAGAGACATACTCCGCCTCTGTCGTGCTCAACGTGACGCACTTCTGGGTCCTTGAACACCAAGAAATACGTCCCTCCCCACACATCACCAATCCCCCTGACACAGACCTCCTATCGGCAGCCTTACTTGCATAGTCTGCGTCT